ATTGTGAGCGTCAGTTGAGGACAACCTATTCTCTTACACCAAGTCGTTCCTGAGATCCCTTCCCTTCCGGGTTTCAATTATCTCCCCACCCTCCCACCCCAGCAGCCCTAGGTGATCTCATATTCAAAGACACTGGTAGCCACAGATCTGCCTGATCATAGCAACAGCCCTTATATACTCCGTGCTTTCCAGTCCTCTCCGAGCGGTTTGCAGCCAGCCAGTCAGTCAGTCTCCTGCTCTCCAACAATCTAGGCTCCTCTTTTTACCCACCTCGGAAGGATGGAAGGCTGAGTCAACCTTGAGCCGGTGAGACTCAAACTGCCGAACTGCTGGCAAACGGCAGTCAGCAGAATTAGCCTGCGATGCTGCATTCTAACTACACGACTCTAATCAAACTTGGATAGTATACAGAAAATAACACAGTACACAAAGGAGTGCTTGTCATCAGCGGCCATTTTGCTGCCTCTCAACACACAATCGTGATACACAAGCAAAGCAGGAATGGAACAGAAATATACACCTGGTGGATGTTGGATTCTTGCACCTTGATCTCTTGAGGACTGGATCGAGAGGGGTTCAGAAAGTAGCCGTGGCTTTCCACCACACCAGGTGTCTTCAGAAGACATGAGATGTTCAAGATGGTTCCCAGCAGAGTCTTCTGGTAGAGCTGTCCATTGGCTGGATCTTTTGGCTGAATGTACTCAACAAAAACCTGAACAAAAACCAGAAGTAGACCCAAAGATGCTTTCCCCCCCCCCTCAAAAGGCAACTGGTCTTTCTTGGTTTTTCCTTTGAAAACATTTCACCACACGCACGCACGCACGCACAGACACATACAAAGTGAGGTACAGAAAAGTGGCCTTTCTCCCAGGTGAAAGGGTAGAGGCAGCAAGGGATTCTGGCCACCTGGGGGTGAATGAGACAACCAAAGACTCACTTTGGCAATATCCTTTTGCTTAGTGAAATACAGGAGTATATCCAGATAAGAATACAACAGGATCTGGCAAAGGTGTAGCTCCCGAATTCGTCCTGAGATGATGTCGAAGACTGGGACTATAACCTCCTCGAAAGTCCTCACTTCCTCATCCACCGTGAGGCTCTTGATGACCTCCTCCAGAAACTCTGTTACATCTTCAAAGTCTATGGGGGAGAGAAAGGACGAGTATTTTAAAAAGGATATATTTGGAGAGCTGCCACGAGCTGGATCCCATTAGCTTATCCTGGGCTATCAGCCTTGGCCAACTCACGAGCTCCTCTTAGTGATTCGAGCATCAAGTCCACTAGCTGCTCATAGACATTCTGGTTGACATAGATCTCTGGTGTTAGGAAGAGTGTGTAGGTATTGGATACAGTCAGATTTCTGCAACGCACTGCAAAAGGCAACAGGTTCTCGGGCACCTTGGTGATCTAGAAGAACAGAGAGAACAGCTGATTTCTAGCCCCTTCTGTCCCGGCCAGCAAGTGGCTTGGGTGTGATATGGGTTCTTGACCCACCTCCTCCTTTGCCCTCCGGAAGCAAGCGAAGAGATATCGCAGGATGTGCTTCTCTCCTGCATCTCTCTCTGCTGAGAGATTCTGCATGCCAGTTGAAGTCATGTGGATCAAGTGATTGCCAGGTTCGGGGAGCAGTAGTCGGGTAAAGAGGGCCTGGGGAAACATATCAATCCAGAATATAATTGCTCTCTCCCAACATTTGGAGAAAGAGCCTAGACCTCATTCCCATCCAATTTTTTTATAGAGCGACATTATGTATAAACAGCCAGGACTTTTAAATGCTTCTCCAAATCTAGCTGATTATCACAGATAAGAAGCAGACAGTCCATAGAACTCAACAGTTTCATATAAGATGAAATTGACTTGTTCAAGGAAAAGTACTATAAAGCAAATCAAGCAAGTGTCATAACAAATATGCAATGAAACGCCTCTAGGCACATGGCATCCTGGCTTGGGGAAGCATCTTTTCCTGGCATAGGCACAGGGAACAATTGGCCTGATGACCAAGACTAGCCTTCTCCCGCAAGCCTCCAATCTGGTGAAGACACCATCAGAGACCTGTTCCACATTTTCCATGTCCAGCCAGTCCTGATCCTCAAGGTCTGTAGCCATTTCCTCCAAGTAGACACACCGTGCAGGAATGCCATTTCCACTCTTCAGATTGGGGTCACCTAGAAGGGGGGAGGGGGAAATCAGCAAAGTAGCAATAGAGAAATCCCCAAAACATTCCATGTTCAGAACCATTTCTCTCAATCAACAACGCTTATTGTCGTATTTTGGCTTCTTGATTTGGCAGATATTAAAACAAGGCATTCTTCAAGATATTGCTCTCACGTGTCTTGAACTACAACTCCCAGACTTCCCAACACATACCAGAGGGCACCAAAATTGAGGCTCCCATGGTTTGTGGCCTAAAGGAAAGAAGTCTCTAGGATCAATGAAATGGCACAGCAAGGCACAAATCTAAAAAACACAGTAAAGGAACCCTTCCATGCCATACCCTACAGACAATTAATTGGAGCAGGAAAATGAAGCAGTGTGGTTGCAAGAAATACCACCAGGTCAATGTTTGGAATTTTCAAGTTAGGTAAAGTTTCTCACACCTGCAATATGCTGACCAGCCCATAAAGATACAGAAATCCACACCGGTAAATTTGGCCTTAACTGCTTGCACAATGGAGAACAAGATTTCCATTCTATATGCATATTTGTTTTTGCCAGGAGAATGTTTACACAGTTCTTTTGGTAAACAGATTTTGTTGTCTTTGGGGCGTCTTAAGTCAGCAGATGTTGTATGATATCAACAATTGTTCTCCAGGAGAGGAGCCTGAATTTGTATTCATGGATCAAAAACTGCCACCTGGTGGCTCCCTCCACCTTAATACAACTCAGCCTGGATTCTGGCCATTTATGCTTCCACACTCACTGTTATCCAATGTGATCAGGAAGATTCTCTGGATCATGTGGTTGATGTTGAGCTGCTCGCAGAGCTCCTGCTGGGAGCGAAAGGAGCGACTGATCTCAGCCACAGAGTAGTCGCAATCATCCAGACTCTCAGACACACTGTTGTCAGAATCATCTTGGCTGGCAGAGGTTTCCTCTACTAAAGAAGCAGAGCTAGTCAATAAGCTGCGTACCTGGGCCCCAACACCATCTGAGCAGTCTCTCTAAAGCCTGAGCGTCTCTCATCTGGGCTGTCACAGCACCAGAAGCTTCGCCTTAAGGGCACTTTTTTACACAGCAAGTAAGCAAAGTATAGATCATAAAAACATAGTTGCTTCCCATGAAAAAAATGCAGCCTGTACACAAGACTTTTCGTCTCCTGGGAATCCCAGAAGAATCTCGGGGCTTCTGAAAAGGAGCCAAGAGGCCACCTAAACAGCTGCTCTTACCAAACCATTCTGCTCTTTTATTGATTTGCCATCTGAGAATCTGGAATTAAACTAGTAAGTAGTTAGCTCTCAGGATTTTAATACCTGCCAGGCAATGCTAGTCTAATTTACGTCTTTAGTATCAATCCGCCAAGTCCATGCATTTCTTTTTCAATTATGTTGCTAACTGTCCTATAATTGGGTTAACATTTCAACTAAGTTGTCTAACTTTGCAGGCAGACGGACCGAGGCTGAGCTACCAGTGACTGAATAGGAAAGGGATTTTGGACAAATAAACAATGATTTCGTGGTAACCCCGCTATATAAACATGGGACGCAGCTACACTTCCAGGCGCAGAAAATAAAGCAAAGGGAAGGGTGAAGCAGGAGAGGGTGTGCAAAGATTTCTTTGGGCGCTTGGAGCCCGCGGGCAAAGGGTTCGAGATAGGCGCTCAGGGCGAGCGATCCGGGCGCTCTGCCCCTCCAGCCCGCTCCCCTCCCAGCCGCCCGGCCTCCTCGCTCACCCGCGGGTTCCGTCGGCGTCGACGGCTGCTTCTGGATCTCGGCGAAGTGCCGGGCGTCGGCGACGGAGCTGAAGAGGGCGGCGAAGGGATTCCGGGAGATGCTGTTATTGTTCTCGTGGTCGGTCATTTCCCCGCCGGGCGACCTCCATGGAGAGCCGCGACCCAGAGGACGAGCGACGGCCCGCAGCCCCGGGCGCCCGGGAGCAGAACGGGGGCGACGGGCAGCAGGAGGAAGGCGAGGCCGAGGCTCCGAGGCGCTCCAGCTGGGCGGCCGCGCCACCTTTCAGCGATGAGCTTGGCAACGCGCGACGCCCACAGGCCGCGCTCGACGTCATCAGACAGCGCCGGAAGCGCGCCATAGCGAGACAGACCAACCATAGAGCCAAATCGTGGCTAGAGGGGGCTGCTGGCGCCTGCGTCACCCTCGCCCTACAGAGGATCTGCCGTCCGGCCAGCGGCTTCAGTGCCAGTCGGCAGCGCGATGCAGCAGCCAGCAGCGAGAAAGGCGCTGCCTCCCGCCAGGCCCCTCGGGAGACGGCTCCGAGAGGGTCGCCCGGGGACACGACGAGGGGCTCCCGCCGGCTCCTGCTTCCTCCCCGTGCGCCGATCCCAGGGAGGGCGGAGGCGAGCCCAGTGGCTGGAGGTTTCCCGGCACCCCGACCCAGAGGCTCCAAGGGGGCTCGGCGGCCCTTCCACCTCCAGCTTCACGACCAGGCGACCCCTCTGACCTTGGCAACTGTGCAAGGTGTGTGGACTTCGGCTCCCAGAATTCCTCGGCCAGTATGTCAGGCTGGGGAACTCTGGGAGTCGAAGTCCACAGATCTTTACAATGGCCAAGGCTGAGAAACGCTTGTCTGGATCGATGTTTGGAGGCCGAGTGCGGATCCTGTTCTGCACCAGCAGCAGCTGCGGAGTGGCCTGCCTGGGCTGAGCCGCCGGTTTGGGTTGGCTCTGACCCCCTGCCCAACAGGCTTGGCCAAAAGGGAGGAAGTGCCCCCCACACACACCTGGGGCTTCTTTGTGCGGTGACTTAGTGGAGAGCTGCTGCTGGGGCAGGGGGGGGGGGCTATATTTGCCACTCAGTTCTGCAAAGGTGGGAAGGAAGTCAGTTTCATTTTTTCAGTAGTGTGGTTTCCCTGTAGCATCTCTTGTCACTTTATTTCCTTATGTATAAATGCGTGCACGCACGCACATAGGACGGAAGAGCCCCCACCCACAGACTTCCTGTTGCAGACTGCCTGCAAAAATCTTCCCTATATCTTCTTGCCCAGTCATTTTTTCCCCTGTTAGAAGACAGTCATCTGCCACCTGTGCTGACAAAAACGGGGACAACATAATATCTGGCTCTCCCATCGACAAGCATGGGAAGCCAGGAACAGTTGCTGTGGGTAACTGCCCTTGCCCTGTTCTTCCAAGGTAGGACTAAATCCAAGGCAGGCAGTTTGAGAGGGTTGTGGCTTGTGAACTCGGAGCTGGGAGCAGGGGGGTGGGGGTGGGGAGAGAGGGTAGGCAGGCTGCAGAAGAAAGAAGGAGCCGGGCATAGGGAGAAGGCACGAGGACCAGATTGTCATTACCATGTGTTGCTTGCACTCAGCTGTGTTTGTGATTCAGAGCATCTGCTTATACACACAAACACACAGAATCTGAAAGCAGCAAACCCACGTCCTCTTCACACCTGGCCTGCAGCTGGAGGCAGCCAGGCTGACCAGGTGTAGTCAGTCACTTCCCTCTGTCTCGCCAAGCTCCTAAATGAGGAATGGGACATTTATGTTGCAAGCTTTTGGAGGAAAGGCTGGATGCAAATGTAAATTCATCCCATTGAAGAGAAAAAACTGTCAGAGGCAATGATGGAGATATTCCCTTTGGGTGGTTGCCAGATTCCAGGGCCAAAAGGTCTGTGAGGGGATCCCGTCTCCCCAGCCTGTGGCAGGTGAGGAAATATTGCTATGCGCCTGTCCTGAACTGCTAGCATTTTGGGAGGAAAAAACTTCTCTCTGTCCATTTTCCTCAGACAGCCTAATATTAAAAACCTCGATCATGATACTCCTTAGTCGCCTGTTTCTGAAATTAAGAAGTCATAGAAATGTTCCCTTGCTCAGGTCAATATTATCCTTTCGGCCGAAGGCTGATCAGTCCTCCATTAACGTTTGCTATTCCCCCTCTGGGTGCCTTTGGCACGGAGTTCAGCCTTTTCACTGCATCTGCAGAGCATACATTCAACTGTTCGATGCTCCTTGGACACCTGGGTGGAGGACTGGTGTGTGGTATAATTGGTGTTTCTTGGTCCCAGTTTATTTTGCTCTGTGTTTCTCAACATGAAATCATTTTCTTTCAGGCATCAGCATAAGTGGAAATGCCGCATCTGGAAAAGGTATGCTTTATCCAGGTTTTCTAAAACCAGAGAGGCAGCTCGGAAGGAGTTCAGATAAGGTGGATTGATACAGTATGTCTGGGGCCAGCCATAGGTTGTGGCCATGCTTTACTGACTATGCCATAATTGCCTGAGTTTGCACAATGTGTGTAGATTGTGATGCACAATCCCAGTCAGTGACTCTTGGTGTGCTTAAATTTTGGCTCTCTTTCATTTGGGGCTGGTTTCTGAATTTTCCAGATCCTGAGTGTTTGAAAAAAGCTTGTTTCTGAAAGAATACTGTATTTTTCGGAGCATAAGACGCACCTTTTTTCCTCAAAAAAGAGGCTGAAAATCTGGGTGCGTCTTACACACTGAATACAGCATTTTTTGCCTCCCGTAGCCCCGCCCCCTTCAACAAAATGGCCGTGCGTAGCTCTTAGGAGGCTTTCAGAGAGCTCCTTGGGGCTGGGGAGAGCAAAAATGAGCAAAAAATGGGCCCTTTTTTGCTGAATTTTGCCCCCAGCCCCCAGGAGCTATGCATGCAATTTTTTTGACAAAAAATGGACCGTTTTTTGCTCGTTTTTGCGGGGGCCCAGGAGCACTCTGCAAGTCCCCCCTTTTTGAGGGGGGAAATGGGCCCGTTTTAACTGATTGATTAGAATTACATTGATCAAGTGCTGTGCCAGCAGAAACAAAGTCTTAGGTGCTGCACATTCTCAGTGATTTCCTTCTCCAGCACATGGATAAATACACCTGGAAACATTTACCTACCTAGCTACCCTCTCTCCATACCTACCTACTGTATTTCTCTCTCCCTCTCTCTCTTGCTCCCTCCCTCCCTCTACCTACCTACCTACCTACGCTCTCTCTCCCTACCTATCTACTGCATTTCTCTCTTCCCCCTCTTTATCCCTCTATCTACCTACCTACTTTTTTAAAAAAAAATTCTCTTCAAAACTTTGGTGCATCTTATACTGCGAAAAATACAGTATTTGGAAAGAAAGGGATTTTCCTGGCTGGCTAGAAGCTTATCAAGAGTCATTCCCGGATGGGAGGGCAAAGGGCCTTAAACAAGATTTGGGAGGAAGTCTCAGCAGTTACTCAGCAGGAGCATCGGCTGAGCAAAGGTGTTACAGGAGGAAGGCAAGATCCCTGAGAGAAGCAAAGCGGACAGGCTGTTTGGGAGAGAAGCAGCTGCAAAGACTTGGCCCAAGGGGCTGATAGTGGGTTCCTGGATTTGCAGAGGACTGGTGTACTTTCAGTAGTCAACACACACACGCACAGACACACACACCACCACCACCACCACCACTGATTCCTGAACGCTGGATAGGGATAAAGAAGCAGACCCTTGCTCAGCAGCAACTACTGGCTGAGAACTAGGAATAAGCAGAAGGGCTGGTTTCCCTTAACCAATGATTAAGCCATGACGCTTTTGCTGAAGGAATGCCAGTTGCCTGAAACACTCTTGCTGAAACACTTGTTACCTAATTTGTTTGGCCCCTGAAACCTTGGAGCTCCTGGTGAGGCTTTGGCTGTGGGACCTCTGCCCCACCTCCCCCCATTTCTTTTGCAGAAATCACCGTAGAGCAGAAAGGAAAAAATCTGCTCCTGGTATGTAAAGATGGCGACAATGGGACGCTCTGGCTAAAAGACAATATGGCTCTCACCTACAAAGGCAAGGAGTTGGTTTTGGCTGTGATGGACGACCCCAGAGGCATCTATGCGTGTAGCAACAGCAGTGAAAGCAGAGCCCTGCAAGTTTTCATCCGGAGTGCGTAAGCCTTCTTTCTCCCCCTTATTTAACAACCTTGCCAGTTGTCCGGTTTCAGCGAGGCAGACTGAAATAAGCCCTTTGAAGCCGGGATGGCTCAAGTGAAAGGAATATCTTAGCTCCATCTGGAGCAAAATAAGAAGGATGGGGGAAGCTTCATGGACAAACCTAGACAAAAGAACCTGGGCAGTCTGTCCTCAGCCTGGTCAATCGGCCACTGCTTGCCTCCTCACTTCGTTTGTTTGGTGAGATCTCAGTTTGCTTCTTGGATGATTAAATGAAGTTAAGTCCCCTTCCTATGGAACCAAGCTTTTTCCTCAAGAAGTTGCTTGTCTATTCTTAGATATTAGAAAAAAAGTGGTGTAGATTTTTCTGAAGGTAAACTCTCAAATCACCACCTCTGTGACTTACACTCCGTGTCCCTGCGCTGAAATGTTTCTGGAGAGGAAATGACGCTCTCTGCTCAGGCTCAGCATTTCTGGGCTCTCTTTCCCAGGACACGGGTCATCTTTCTGGCAAGCCCTGGGAAAGCCTGGGGCGGCCCCTGGGATGGGCAGATCAGGGACTGCAGCTGGGCCTCCCCTTCTCTGCCCAGGGACCTGGCAATGGCTTCTGAGGGGTGTGAGGGTTGCTTGTGGCAGTTCTGCCATAGAAGAACACCTGCTCTGCTTGAGTGAGGCCTGTGTAGACGCCATGTGGGGGGATGCAGAACGTATCTTCACCGTTTTCTTTCACCACAGTGTGCCAGAACTGCATCCATCTGGACTTCGCCACGATTCTGGGGATTTCAGCAGCCAGCCTCATCACCACAATCTTCCTGGCTATCGCTGTGTACCACATAGCCGTGGAAGAGCATGGCCAGCCCGCCCAAGGTGAGGAGGTGGCAGGAAAGGGCAGCTGGGTGACTGGAGGTTTTCTCCAAAAGGAAAGACCACCTTATTTACACCTCAGGTGCTTCACCCCCCCCCCCCCATTTCTTGCATGCTTCAGAGATCCCCCCCCCCCGCTCTCTTGGTTTCTTCCTTGTGGACTCAGTCTTCCTATTTTGATCCTGCAGCTTCTGATAAGCAGTGCCTGTTGGCCAATGACCAGCTGTACCAGGTGAGAGCTTCCTTTTGACTTTCCCTTCTGTGTCAGATCAGAGACTGGCCAATTCATCCCACAGAAAGCGGGAAACCTACGAGAGGATTGTGTGAATATTAGGCCATCTGCATATCCTAGCAGAGTGGAGATGGGGCGGAGCTAGATTCAGGGAGGAGCTAGATCCAGGGAGGAGCTAGATCCAGGGAGGAGCACACCTGTGCCCAACCGTTGAGTAAAAGTAGCTGCCCCCATGGTCGCTGATGGGATGGCTTTGAGAAAGGGTCTGCCAACCTCTGGGTCATTTCCAGAATCCCAGCCCCACGGAGGATCCCCGGGCAGGGACGGCTGCCCCAGGGACGGCAGATTCTGTCAAACCTCTTCCAGACCTATTAAGATGTTTGGCAACACCCTGAACCACCCTGAGCTCCAGTCACAGCGTGGCTTTGCCTGCTGGGCAAGTGCTGGATTTCACTTGAGGGGCCATCATGGCTGATGGCAGCAATGTTAAAGAAGCCGTGGTTTACAATTCTGCCATTTCAGGGGTGCAGTTGGCCCTCCTGGGGCCATGGCACTGATTTCCCTGGCACACATCATGCCCTCCTGGCCAACGGGGGGAGGGAGCAACTACGCCAGAGGACGCAGGCTGTGTGGGGCAGCTGAATGGCCCCTCCAAACTGCAGGGGAAGGAGCTACGTGGGGGACTGGCGAGTCAGTGTGGCCCCTTGGCCAGGCCAAACTTCCCCAGACCCTCCTCACCCGCTGCTGGCTCTTGGCCCCCAAGGTGGAAGAAGCGCGCTGTGCCCACAGAGGCCCTAAGGGTTGGTGTTCTTCCTTCCAGCCTCTCCAGGGGCGCAACGACAGGCCCTACAGCCACATTGGCATTGCCAAGCCTCGCCGCCGATGAAACCCTTCTCCAGCGCATTCGAGTTCCCCTTCCTGTGCTCAGTCCCCGAGGGACGTCCATTGCGTCAGCTGAGGTGGGGAATTGGGGGGCCCCCTGCCTGTGTCTGCTTTCCAGGGCCCGGGAGAGCCGCCGAGGCCTGCCAGAGCTGCCAGAGCTGCCGGATTCCATTTTCTCTTTGTTGGACTGAAAGGTGTCGGCTTTTGGGGGAGGATGAATGCATTCAGGGTGCAATGCTGGGGATGTGGTGGCCAATCAGAATCATTAAGAATCTCTTCTCTGGGCCACACAAGTGGGCCGGTTCATTTTCCATTCTCCCCGTTGCAGCTGAAAGTGGGTCCCTGCTGTTGCTCCCCTCTGCGTCCTGCCTCCCCCCCAATAAAAGACCTTGCTTACAACTTCCTCTCTAGCGTGGTTCATGGATCAAAGGGCCACGATGAAGTGGGAGTGCAAATGTCATGGAGTCAGCCATTTGCACAAGTGTGCAGCCGCCACTGGGTGGTGACTCATAGGCAGCAGAGTCTCGTTTGCGCTGGATGGTGGTCGGTGCCTTTCTTGAAATGCAGCTGTGTTTGCGTGTGACCACATCCTGTGGAAAGAGCTCATCCGCTGAGGGAGGCCGCTCCTACGTGGGGCCCCAACTTTTCCTCCCCACTGCAACAGCCACATTTTGTGCAGCTGAAGCCTCAGTGAGGCCGCCTCTCCCGATCAGCGATGGGTTCCTTTGGCTGGTTCTCAAAGCGGGAAGGGAGGGCCACATCCTCTGGGTCTTAGAGCTATGGTGGGGCTATCTGGCTCCTCCCCTACCACCTTGGTTCTGCCTCCCCTCCTACTGGGGCACTGCTGGTGGGTGGGAAAGCAGAGAAGACCTGGGCTTTAGTGTCTGTCACCCCTGCACCTCCTCTTTTCTCTCTGCCCCCTCCTTCCCCAAGACCCCCCCCCCCCAAGTCTTTTTCCAGTCATGCCCGTATCCGAGAAGAAAGACACAGGAGTCGCCTCCTCTGGGGTGAATGGAGCAAAGCTTTACTAGGAGTCCTCGCGAGCACAAGCACAGCAAATGTAAAAGCAGGCTGCCTTTTCATCATGGGCTGCCCTGCCAGGGCAAGTGGGCAGCACAAATTGACCACCCGGGCATGCCATCTCAGGCGCTCTAGGGGAGACTGGCCACCCTGGGTACCCCCAGCCAGAATAACAGAGCTGCCAGATGGGACGGGAGCCATGGAGCTTGCATGCACTTGGGGCAGCAGTGCTGTGGCTGAGTGACCCCACATGAGGGAAGAGGCGTCTATGGTGCCGCTTTCTTGCCCAGGTGAGACCTGCAGTCTGAGAAGCCCTCTGGGCATCCCGGGGCTCTCCGCCCCACCTGGGATGGGGCTCTCCAGGCCACTCGATTTTCCAGCTGCAAAACTCAGCGCAAAGGGAGTTCCCCCACCAGGAATGTCAGTGCGAAGAGGAGAAGGAAGTGACAGGCACTTCTGGGGACTCTCGCGGCCAGCCGGGACATCTGGCATCTTGCCATGGCAAGCGAGGCAGCAGCATCTCAGAAAGCCTGGGGCGCCAGGCCAGCATAAACCTCCCCTTGGCCCTTCCGGATCGGCTGTGGGAATAGAAAATGTCTTTGGCAAACCTGGCCTTGCTTTCTGGGACACCAGCTGTGCATGTTCAAGGGGGGCATTTAGCAAAGTGAGGACCTCACTCGGCTGCATGTAATTCCGATGCTCTTCTCTCTCAATTATGTTTGCATAATACAAATCAGGGAACTGTGGCTCCCATCTTCACTGGAGCCAACTGGTAGCCAACCTGGTCCCTACCGCCCACCAGTGGGGGTTCCAGCTGTCATGGTGGGCAGTAGGGGTTTTGTCCATACTGAAGCCCTTTCCTTTTTTTTAAATTTAATTGACTTTTTTAAAAAAATTCATAGCATTATTTAAAAACATTTTCATTAGGTTTTCATAAAATCACCATGCCTGTGGAACCGGTAGGCGGTTAGAAAATTTTACTACTAACAGAGATACAAAAGTGGGCGGTAGGTATAAAAAGGTTGGCTACCCCCTGCGCCAGAGTTTAAAGCCAAGTTCGGTT